CACATACGTCTCTCATTTATACCCCCCCCCCATATAGTGGCTGACCACATCGACGTATATCACATGAGACATCCGCAGACAGTGGGAATTGGTGTGTATGTGTATGCATGTGTGTGTGTGTGTGTGTGTGTGTGTGTGTGTGTGTGTGTGTGAACGAGATCATCGGAACTCAGTCTGATTCACTTCCTCAGAGTACTGTGGAGGCATTTGCAGCAATAAACTTGCTGATTGCTTCATCGCAAGCACCGGCGCTATAATGGAATTTACGCGAAAATGCAGAAAAAAGACAAGTTGATGGAAATATTTTTGTACCTCAATTCAACTGAATACCTTTTGCCTGTGTCTCCAGCCGGTGCCGGCGGTGAAACGAAATGATTTGTAGGATAACGTTACATCGTTTTTTATTCTGTGGAAAATGAACGATCGATCTGCTGGACAGATTTATTTATGAATTATAAACATGTTGTGAGTTGTATAAGTAAAATCAGGGCTAGAACACCGGCTGTGTCCCATAATGATCACGATTGTGTCCATAGTAACTAACCAATAACTAACGAAACGACTTGTTCAAATAAAAGATTAGCGCTGTAATGTTTCACGTATTCTTGTTTTTGTTGAAATTCATTTTAAAACATATTGGTATCGAAAATGTTTGAACTATGCCCAGCCCTAGATGCGAGGGTCCCCGCAAGCAGATTGTCTTACACAGAGAGGCACTGCAACGCCGAGGTGGGGGCTGTGAGGGGGGCACTTAAGGTGAGTTATCAATGGAGAGAATCCCCAGGCCTGGACACAGGTCTCTGCTTAATATTTGCTGAAAACTTTTCCTGATTAACATGGGAGGGATGGCAACCCAACTGCCTAGGGCTGTACCAGACTCAGAATTTTGAGAATCAAATCGGAATTGGCTGTTCAATAAGAATATTTGACTCTTTTTCCCCTTCATATAGACTATCTGGCAATTATAATATCCATTAGCATGAGTTTCAGTGATTTCGACAGTGCGCTGCGGCTCGGTGTGGCTCGAGCGCTACATCGCTTCCAAGTTATGTTTATGGATATGTTGGGGAAGATGACACAGGCGGCCCACATGCAAATCTGTTTAAATGAAGGTCTTCAGCCTAATTTCTTCGGTGAAACACGTGAAGTGCGTGTGTCCTTCCTAAGCACATGGAGTTCGGTCGCACAATTGCGCGGGGCAATGAATGCAGAACCACCAGTTAATTACTTTGAAATTATATTTGTTATTTCGATGTTAAATTACTGCCACTTTAGGTCTCTTTCGTTCTCTCCATGCCATGTACAGCACAGTACTGAACATCTTTAGAAGTCAAGCACACCTTAATTTAAGTAAAACTGCAGTGATATCCTACCCGATTCTACGCCTGTGAATATCCTGCCAGCTTGGTATCGAATTCACAGAGGGTGAATAAGAGGTAGATGAGATTTCTGTTTGCAGCGATTCATTCTCTCCTCTAGCGCTTGAATTTCATGTCCCAAGTTAAGGATTAATTAATTTAGGCTGTTTGGTTTTTACAGACGCGTTTCGCCACTAAGCAATCATTACAGTGGTTAGACGCCGAAGATGGCTTACTGCCAAAATCCCTCCGTCATTTGATATACTTCCAATAAATGAATGAGCGTATTCGCTTGCGCGTATGTTTTTCTCTTTATTAAGTCTTTATTTAACTTGCACCCAAAGAGATCAAGCTGAATTCAAATTGAATGCGCCCACTCACCTATAGGTGCATAGACTAGTAACCACAGTCTCGCATATGGAACGCAATTCAGAGAGCCTATAACACAAAGCCGGTTGCACACAAAATTTCTGTTATTTATGACAGTCGTAACAGGTCTGAGACTGAAAATTCCAATCGTCGACTTCCAGGGGGCAGCCCAAAAATAACCGCCAGCAGGAAGTGAGGGAAACAGCATTTTTAACGCTGGAAATATCAGCCGATATCAACAGAACACAGTACAATTCCGACACAAAGAATACCAACCAGGGGCAAGGGGAAGGAGGGCAGGTAAAACTAATCAGAGACTGACGAAACTCTTCCCTTTGCTCGGCACAGAAGCCCCCATCAAGAAGCTAAATAATAAAAAAACATATTCATGAATGTTCCGGAAGCCCCTCTGGGTTACTTCTGGTGAGGACGTGAGAACATTCCGGATTGAAGGGCATGATGGGCCAGGCTGCCTGGGAAGGGGGGAGGGGTCAGAGCATCATACAGCCGAACCCCTCTTCCTTCCTGGGAGGAAGACCCCCATCCCACGCTCCATCAGCTTCATCGGTGATCACGATAAAAAACGAACAGGCTCTGATCGGGTCATTCTTAATCTAATCTTAACATACAAACGTGGAACAAATCACTTAAGCTTCAGGAAGACTCATAAAATGGTAGCATATTTTTTGGAAGAATTTTTCTTGCCACAATCATATTAGTTTTAATACAATATGATGCCGTTTTCGTTTGCGAGTTTTGGCTACTTAGTCAATCAAGAGAAATCAGAGAAAAAGCCTTAATTGTCGGGCATGTGACCCTCGCTTGTGGTGTCACCACCCACTTGCCCTCCCCGATACCACCTGTACGGCACAGCCAGTTTCCGAGGCTACTGTGGGTCACCCAAAATACCACACCGCGCCGCCCTCTCCCCATTATAGAGACGGACAGACCCAGTCAGTTCCAGCCCATCGACTTGCCAGCCGTCGGCCCCACATGGGATTTTGAATGGCGCTCCATGGTGGGAATCACATCCCAGCACACATCCCTGTCTGTCAAAGCTGCGCTGGCAGAGGAGGTCTGCTTCAGCTCATTTAACGCTGCCTTACTCCCAAGATTAAATTATCTGTCACTTTTGTTATGTAGTAGCAGCTCGCGATTTTCCAGAGCCAAGATTTGCCAGAAAAAAAATAAGAAACCGAGCAGCTGAGCACAAAAGACATTTTTAGCTGAGCTGAGCTGGGAAATATTATCCACCAGAGGCATCCGTTTGTAATTCCCTCTTTCCCCACTAGAGGTCACTCCTGCGTAGATATTAGCAGTGGACACTTGATTGGCTGCATGGAATCATAGAAATTTTTCTGCTGTTTTATCCCTTAGAGATCAATGATAAAGCCACCGAGTTAGACAGAGATGAAAGTGTCCAAACCAGCATGAGAATCCAAAGAAAACCTCAATGTAACTGGAATAATTGCCTTTTTAGAGGTTTTAAGGAGACATCGCCATCACAAGGTGTTATCAGGTCTGCAGGAAAGGTCAGCGCCCGCGGTTCGCGGCTCAGCCGACTCGGACTAAGACCCTCCCTAACTCCAGAGTGAGGAAGCATCTTGGCCAGAGCACTCCCACCCTGACCTCTGAAAAAGTCTGGGCTCCATAGAAAGCAGCACCGTCTTCCTGGTCAACAACCAACCCGAACAGCTTCCAGTCCATCAAATCCAGAGAAAGCCAGCTTTTTAAGAGCTCCCACTTTTGTACAGCGTTATGATGCGGAGCAGAAGCAAACGTACCAAGACAAGCTTGATTTCAGATTCTGCAGACATTTACTTTCATGAATCACACAAGAGGATCACGACAGATTTATTTCCTGATCAATACCCTGAGCAAGTACCCTTTAGTGCAGTTCTTCCCCATGTCCAATATAGTTTTGCCTGTTTCTGATGCAGTTTTATCCTTGTCAGATACAGATCCATCTATGTCTAATACACTCTTCGTGTTCAATAATGTATAACAATCCCAGCATGCACTGGGGCCTGGATAATAACATAAGCGGCATAAATGAAATGTCAGTGGAACCTAAAACACAATCGAAAAAGTGTTGGGCAATTGAACACAAGCGCTGAAGGGAACCCCTAGAGGATAAGGGCACGTTAAAGGTCCCACATGATCTACACACTTCTGATGGCTCTTCATGCTGGTGTTAGTTTTGTGCCAGAAGTTCAGATGTATTAAATGTTCCCTGGAGCAGCATCACTCAGGAAACCGTTTGGGCTCCACGACCATTAAGACAGCAGATTCTGTTTTCTGTTTTTTTATACATCGTATTTATCACACCAGTTTCCAAATAATAATAAAAAATCTCACATCTAAGGCCTTGAAACTCCTGTGGCAAATCGAAAGTCCAAAGAAATTTAATTATTAATTTTTGGAAAAATAACACTGCATAGTAGTCAAATCCTCCAGGCAATTGGTAGTAAACAATTCAGGTCAAGCGTGTATCTTTCATAAAGTTGAGTTCAACAGACCATTCCTACACTGTCTAGAGAACATGAAGATTTCCCTCTGGCTCCCATTGATGAAATATGGATTGCTTGTGTTTCTACTAATAGCCACTAGATGTCACTATTGGTGCATTTCAGCCATTTAACTTGAACACTGGCAAGCTTTTGATGTGTTTCCCCGTCTGCTCTCTTCTGATTGAGGATTTTCACAGAGAATATAAATAATTTCACTTTTCCATGTTTCATGCCAATAGAACACAGTATCAGTTTACACAACGATACAAAGCCAATCTTTTGTTTCCTCTGTATGTAATTTAGTAGCTGTCTACACAAAAGCTGTAACAATCGGGATGAGATCTGTCCAATAAAATCGGTTCAGCATGAATATTACTATCCAATCGCATGCTGTAAACATGAAGTGCTCTGCCTAATCCATTATGTTGAATGTGGTCTCATGGCTAATCACATACTCTGTACATGACAATTACTGTCCAATCAGATCCTCTCAATACGGGTGGGTCCTGCCCACTCCTGCTGTGATTGGATGCTGAAATTGCACGTAGTGAGCAGCACCCATGCAGCCAGCAGGCAGGATGGTAGCCACTGAGCGCAGCTGTAAGGAATTCGGAGAACCACAGGGCAGTGAACTCACGACACTGGCAGCTCTGTTTAGCAGCTGAGCGTAGCTGGGAACGGATGCGCTACAGGGGGCATGGGAAACAGACGGGAGTGACTGGTGGGGAGGGTAAGGAGGTGTCACTTCACAGGGGACACTCACGTCGAATTCGTTGAGGGCGGCCGCCAGCTCCCCGATCCCGGTGTGGCCATGCTTCTCGTCAGTGGGGGAGGCGGCCTGCGCTGCCCCAGCCACGCCCCCCAAAGCTTCCTGCACCTGCTTGAAGACGTAGTCGCGGTTGGCGCGGGTGGCGGCCACGTCGGGGTGCCGCAGGAAGGCCTGCGACGCCGTGTACAACATGGTGGCATTCTTCTTCAGGGCCCCACGGGCTGCCGCCATCTCGTCACGGCACTGGGGGTCCTTCAGCTCCTGGGGTGGGGGATGGTGGGGTGGGGGGGGGGGGGGGGGGGGGGGGGGGGGGGGGGGGGGGGCAGAGAAAAGAGGGAGGCGTTTAGCTTCAATCAGTCAAACTGTACGACACTCAAACATACTTGCTTAACATTAAACAAGTGAATATCAAAAGACCGCCTCTGCCAATATGGTAACAGCTAAAGGTAATTATCACACCCACTGCAGGGAAGGCAAGTGAATAAGACTCCTGGGAAAAAAAAAATGCTTGTAATTGCATAAAAGCTCCAACCGCAAAGTGCCGCAGCTGGACGCCGCTTCACTGCCCATTGTGTCTATCTGAGCAGATGATGGGAAGCCTCAAAGTGCCTGGGGTTTGTTTAGGTGCGGCGGCGAGCTCACTGCAGCATGCACAGCTAACGAGCGCTGAAAAATGGGGCCGTTATAATAATTTACATTTGGTGCAGAGAAAATCACAGGCAACACATTCAAATTAAAGTCCAGGGAGCATGTGTTTTGTTTTGAAATATCTTCGCAATTGGCACAGTCTGGATGGCGGGAGGGGAACAATGCCTAGTCAGAGCCCACCCCCTCACCTGCTGGCGGCGAGCCGCCACGTAGTTCAGCTTCACCATCTCTCTCCCGAACTCCTTGAAGCGGTTCGCCAGGTCCTGCTCGTTGGTGGCGCTTTTGACCGCCTCCAGGGCCTCTTCTACCTGCCCAAACACACAGAGATATAAACAGCGGCAGTGTTCACCATCACTCAAACCATGTGTCTGCATGGGACCCCTGAGGTTTGGAGACCCCCAGCTAGCCACAAAGAGTCACTGCATTGGGTGGGCGGGGGAATTGGGGCTGAAGTGACTTTTTAAATGGGGTCCTGAGAAGCAACAAACCGGGCGCTGGATACAACAAGAGAATGACCTCAATGCCTCCTGCTTCACGAAGCTCAGCTCTGAAGCAGAGGGAGCTGCCCCAGTGGGATGAGGTCTCTTCGGAAGTGGTCATCTTTCACAGAAGCTCAAGACCACATGTCCATGGAGAGTGGGCAGATGCAGCCCCAAGAATTTATGAAGCAGTCAAATGAGTAGCAGGAGGAAAACAAACAGCACAGCATTTTTCGCCCTCCCTCTCGTGCTACTGTCGTCACGGCAACAGCACAATGAGCCACAGACGTCCGAGGAGTGCTTTGGAAAACTGCTCACGGTTTGGAATAATCTATACTTCAGCAATGACGGATTAAATAAGAGTAATTAAATTAGTAAGAGGAGGAGCTGGAAAAAACTAGAACATGATTTATTTTGGCGAGGCGTTCCCCATGGTGCCATCCTCAGCCCACATGCAATATATGGGATCAGCAGGCTGTCCGTGCATCTGAACTGAAAATGTTCTCTTCGTAGAATTCAGTGATCCCCCACAGCCCTCTTCAGCACCATGAGAAGTACCGACCTCAGCCTTAATCCCGAGTCTTTTTCTCTAAGTGATATACATGTGCAAATGGGCTTCTTCTGGCAGCGAGAGAGAGAGAGAGAGTCATAGCTACATCCAGCAGCTGTGGAGGTCAGAGAAGAGATGCTGTCAGAGGAGGACAGCGGGGTCCTGAAGCTGAGGAGTAGGCGTCCTCTGACTGTAATGGCCCCCCATCACCTGCGGGGGCAGACAGCCACTCGGGTAGCCAAGAGCAGGAGGCACAGCAGCTCTGTGACAAGCATCAATTTGAGACAATCTTCTGCACGGACAATTGGCCTAATGGAGGTGCGCTACCCCCTGCACAAGTGGCAGGAAAACTGTGCTTCTGGTGGGGGTCAAAGGTCAGCATGTCCGTTATTGGAATTGGCACAAAGGGTGTTAACTGGAGAGCCAGTCATTGACCGATAGACACAGCAAAAATACCAATCCATCACTGGTAGAAAAACCTTCATCCACTTGTGCTGCTAGAACTACCACAAAGTTGACCTCAACAAACTCTCCAGCCTGGGAATCGGGAACTAAGCTAATCAAAGCATCCCAACAGAAAAGTGCTACTATGTCTGTGCTAAATTACTAATGCACCGCGCAGGCCCCACTCGGACGCCAGGCCCGATCCAGCAGGTTTCATAGCAACACAAACCCAAACCAGACGGTAACCGGGGCAACATTTCTGTTCTAGGACGGCCCGTTCCATTCATTGTACTGCTGTAACCAGTCACTAAGGATCAAGACCGGTTTCAGTCATAAAGCTATGACTGGACCCAGTCCACAAGCAACTGGGTTTCACACTTTCCTGCTTCTGCCAGCCTCCGTTTGGTGTGGGTGCGAGTTTTCAGGATGACCTCTCAATCAGCCAATAACAGACAGTGCCCAGGATTGGAGTTGAGAACCACTGTTTTATTACTGGCTGATGGAGAGATCCCAAAAACCCACACCCACACCGGCTATCAATGGATCAGCTTCCCCACCCCTACTCTATGGGGACTACCTCTCCTGGTTTGGGGAAAAGGATTCAACAGCAGTTATCAGTCTCATAGAGTCACAAACAGCCAACTACCTGGTGTATGGTCATATCATATCATATCATATCATATCATATCAGGGTACAGATATGGGTGACTGACAGAAAATAGAGGGCATAAATGTAGTCTGCCATAACACTTATACAAATACAGTAAATATTAATAAATCAATAATTTCACAAGTAGATAATGTGACCAGAATGACAGACAGGCAGGACACAGTACGACAGAGATGGAAATTCCAGCAGAAAGATTCAACTGGGATCAAAGAGGTTCTTGGACAGTAGAACCAGTGTATGTGCGCAGTTCAATCACAATGTAGACTAGTTCATTCTAGCTGGGACCATCTGGTGAGTCCCCTGGACAATGGTGCCAGCTCTCGGCCGGAATTCCCCACTGTGGCGCGATTTAGTATGGATACCCGGCGAGCGGGAGGAACGTACGATCTTCAGGTGGGCCAGCAGCCTCATGACGTCGGCCATGTCGGCGAGGATGAGCAGGCGCGTGACGGCGGACAGGAGGGCACGGGCGGCCCGCACCATGGTGCCACGCTTCACCGAGGAGCAGGGATCGTCGGCAAACTCCGAGGACGCCACACGCATGGTGTCACCTGTGGAAAGGGGACGGGGGTTAACCACGTTCACGATTAAACAGTGCCACAGTGCCTGAGCGACGCTAAGCTAAAGCCGCCGTTTCTCACAGTTCCAGTAGGCGGTGCCATTCTGACCCGGCTTAACAGCACTTCAGCCTCTGCACGCTCCATCTGTCAGGCCTGTTCACGGCCCGCGGTCCTCGGGACACGGCGCGACATAGATACGCTCCGACGGTTCAGTGATTTCAGAGAGGGAGCTGATTCCAGGTCAGTTGCCACGTGCCAGCATGCAAGATCCGGCTCTGGATAACAGCAAATCAAACATGAAAAAGAGGACCAGCTCTGAGTGCTGCTGTCCACCCCCCAGAAGCGGTGACGCGATACTGTCATCTCTAATGACTCAGAACGCCACACGTATGGACCCGAGAGCCGGGCCGGCCCACCGCTGTCAGAACCAAGCGCCAAACAAGACCAAAGTGTGCCATGACAAGACAGGGCCGTTATTTCATTTTTTCCTTATTAAGTTGGTTTGTTTGTTGCAGTCCTATGGATCCAGTTGGACGCTACCCATGATGCACTGGGAGAAACAAAGGCATCTTTCTGTCAGGTCCTCTGCAGGCCATTTTTTTTATATACCATCTTTAACCTCCACTGTACAAAGGCTGGCTTGTCACCAGGTTACCCCATACAGAGAGGCTCACTCTGGCATCTTTTTAAAGATGCGGGGGCAGGAAGAGGTAAGCCCGCCCCCAGCTTCAAGACGCTCCGCACAGCTGCCACACAATGGCCCTGCCCTCTGTATGACCAGAGGAGAGGGCAAGTGACTCTTTTTCACTCCCAAAGGGCACCAGCCATTGAACCTTCGAACGAGATTTTGCTTGGGCTGAGGGTAGCAGTAGTTTTCACTTTTTTAGCGAGTCTCACTGGCTTTTAATCATGTCAGTTTGACGTTTGCCTGTCTACCCCGAATGGGGTCACCAGCTGCCTGCTCACACACAGGGACATCCCAGCTCAGGAAGCAGCCCAGGTTGTGGCAACAGCCGGAGCTCGCGCGGTTAAGCCCAATGCTAGTCCAACCCGGAGAGCGTGCTCCCTCTCGCCGTCCACCGACAGTGGAGGGAAAATGCCATCACCGCCGGCAACGGCTAAGTCCTCTCCCTTGTGCTTACCAGGCTGATCATTCAGTAAATTTGACAGAATATAAATCAGGCCGAGGCAGAGAGAGAGAGAGAGAGGGAGAGAGAGAGAGAGAGAGGGAGAGAGAGAAAGAGAGAGAGAGAGATACAGCAAAAGCACAACTCTGGCATCAACCCCTGCACTGGGACAAGCTAGGAGCTAATTCTGGGAATTTTTCGTTTAATGAACGTTAATCATTAATATGAAGTCTCTGTCACATGAGCCCATTGAATGTGTTCCACAAAACAATAGCAACTGGTCCCTTTGGTTTGGTAGGACCTATGACTACCCTTTGGGCTGTTTGATGACCCTCAACGTTTCACCGCCCATCACGGTAACAATGATGTAATCCCTGCAGCTCCACCAGGGTGAGCTGTAGCACGGGTGTGACCATGTGACTAGCACACGCTGCCCCAAACACTACCGGATTGACGGATCTCTGCACTTACTCGTCATCCCTGGGGTCAGCACACATGCTGGTTGAAGTGGAAAGCCACCCCCACCCCCACCCCCACCCCTTTGCTCTCTAGCTCCCGTGTGCCTCTAAAGGAGAATCATATCCCCCGGGGTGATGAAAAGGCAGCTCCTCTCCTCTCCTCTTGCAGACCACCATCCCCCCTTGCACACCCCCTTCCCCTTGTGGACCCCCCCCCCCCACACACACACACACGAGGCACCACCCCACTCCAGCTGCTTCAGCATTAGCTGTGTTTTTTTTTCTGGAC